TGCCCAGAGCTGAGCTTTGCACGCAAGGGTCCCCAAACCACTCTGAGCCCCCCAGGAAGCCTGGGCACTGCCCCGTCCCTGGCCCTCGCAGCCCTTGTGGCACAGAAGGACACGCGGGTGCTGCATCTCCCAGCCTGGCCAGCTGTGAGGAGCTGGGCTCTGGGTTCCTGTCCCCTCCCCTGTTCCTCCCTAAGCACAGCTCCTCTGGGGCCTCAGCTGCTGCCTTGGTGCTGCAGAACCGGTGCCTGCTCCCCAGTGCCCCTGTCCCAGTCCTCCCCCTGTCCTGTGCTGGTGCAGGTATAAACCCTGCAGAGCAGGGGGCTCCCGCTTGCTGGAAGCTTTGCTCCATTCTGCAACACCCTCCCTGAGCCCCATTCACTGTTCTGGAGAGGGAAGGGGAGCCCTGGCCCCCCTGGTGCCCCAGCTGGAAACGGGAGGGAGCCCCCCCAAAAAGCAAGCCCTGCACCTTCCTTCTGTCCCCAGAGGTTAGTTCCCTCACTTGCAACAGCTCTGCCCTGGTACCTGCCATGGTCCGCATGTCCTGGGACCACCCAGCACCATCCAGTCCAGTCCTGGGGAGGGCTCAGGCAGTGGCCGCATCGTGTCACCAGTTCCATCACCCCCTGTCATTGCCCATGTTTGCAAACAGCGGGTGCCTTCTCTTGTTCAGAGCTGTTCTCTAGAGGCCAGCTCTTGTGAAAGGTGTGTTTTTTGTCTCTGCTGGGTCACGCAGCCCAGCCCAGCAGCCTGGGTATGTCAGAGGACGAGGCGTGTACATGCATCTTATACCTCGATGTGTTCCTGTAAATAAAGTTATTTCGGCCTCAGGAGGTTTGTTCAATGGCTGTGTTTGTCCCTTGCTTTTTTTACCTCCACAAATAAAACGTTCTGAGATGAAATGTCAAAGATGGCTTTGAAGGAGAGGAAGAGCACGGCCGGGAACTGCTGATCACATCCTGGGTAAAAGGCTCGTGTGGACCGATGCGTTGGGAGAGGGTGACCCGATGCGTTGGGAGAGGGTGACCCGATGCGTTGGGAGAGGGTGACCTGCATCCTTCCACACACGGCGGCTCCACTCCAGGCAGTGGGGGCAGATGCGATTGCATTGAGGGGTACGTGAGGGCTGAGCTGGGGGAGGCACAGACCCAGCCGGGCTGGCCCCGGGGGGCACGGGGGGCCGGTCCCTGCGGTTCCGAGGGCAGCCGGTAGGTGGCAGTGACGACCGCGGGACCGCAGGGCTCAGCGCAGCGGCCGGACCCCGGGCTGGGGGATGCGCTGGGAGCCCAGCAGGGACCGGGGCTGGCCCCCCCCCAAGACAGGAGGCCCCCAACCTGCCCTAGGTGCTGCAGGGAGCTGAGCTGCACCCCCTGCTCCACAGCCCCAGCGCCCCCCCCTTTCTGTTTGCCGTACAACCAGCGCTGGTTGTGCTGGTTGGACAGAGCAGCACGGGCTGTGCCCGCATCGACCACCGCAGACGCGGTTCCTCCTGGCACAAGCCTCAGCCCCACATGGGGCACCCCACACCGCGCTGCCTCCATAGGGTGAAAGCTGGGGCCCAGGCCCTGGGCTCAACACCCACCATGTAGTGCTCATCCTGAGGATGCTGCAGGCCTGGCCCTAACAGTGTCTCTCTGGAGGGCTGGCACAGGGTCCTGCAGCACCCTCAGCCTGTGCCATGGCTCACTCGGTGTGCCGGCAGCCACACCACGGTGCTGCCTGGGCAAACAGGCTCTGTGGGGCAACAACTGTGCGGGTGTCATGGGCCAAATCCCTGCCGGCGGGGTAGGTGACATGAGCAGCATCCTGGTGAATCAGCCATCCCCTGCACCAATGTACCTGCACCTTCCCTTGCCGGCCCTTGTGTCACCAACTCACTCCAAACTCATGACCACCTCTTTCTTGCTGCAGCAGGATGCCAGGCTTGGGCTGGCAGCGCCCGGTGCCGTGTTCCCCCCATCCCTGAAGATGCCCTGGGAGCTTGGCCCAGCAGCAAGGGGACAGCAGGGACACATCCTTGGGAGCACTGGCTCTGGCAATAAGGCCATGGCAGCCCCTGTCACCCATCCTCAGGCTCAAGGAGGAGTTGCCCTTGGCCCCTCAGTGCTGTGGGTGCTCCATGGCAGCGGAGCATCCCATGGGCACCATCCACCAGAGTGCTGCTGCCCTGTGGCTCTGGGGACACACCAGGGGAGGCTTCTGCTCTCCTTTGCTCTCGGCATATTGAGGGAGCGTGCCCCACCATGATCTTCTCCCCATGGCCCATTATTGGGCCTGGGTTGTGGCACATCCATCAGGCACATGGGCAGGGAGGCTGCTTCTCCAGGTCAGCAGGGTGCTGGGGAGGATTGCTCAGGTCCACTGAGCTCCTGGCTCCCAAGCACAAGGGGAAGAGGATGGGCTGAGGCCCAGGAAGACCCAGAGGGCTTCCAGCACATCAGGCACACATAAGGAGTTAGGAGGTGTCACCCACCGAGGGCACCTCTCCACTGCTGGCATAGCCCAAGTGCATGGGCTGACTGCAGCGCCTCCTGCAGGCCTGCAGGGAAGGGAGATGTGGGAAAGGGAATGCTTGATGCAGCCCATGCCAGAGAGCCCCATCAGGCATCCGATCAGATCCCCCTGGGTGCAAGGGGAGTTATGGGTGCTTGGGCAGGAGATTCCTCAATGCTACACAGCCTCCCCATCACCCCTGGGCCTGTGGTGCCCCATTCTGCTCCAGAGACACAGTGCATGGAAAAAGCTTCCCCAGGGGCACGTTTCTAATCCCAAGCACTGGAAGCCCCAGCCAGGTCCTCAGGCTCAGTGGTACCCTGGGCTCAGCTCCCGGCTCCGTGTCTGCCCGGTGCTGGTGTTTCTCCTGGTGGTCTTGGCTTGCCCCATGGCAGTTGCTGCTCCTGGGCATGGGGATGTCCCTGGGTGCTGTGAGATGCTGTGCCCAGGAAACAAAAGGGCCTGGCAGCACCCAGCACTCGTGACTGTGCCACAGAGGAATGAAGCTGGGGCGGGTGATGAGCTGGCATGACCCGGTGCCTCCTGGCTGGTACACTGGCCCTGCCAGCCCCGGGGCCATGGCACGCACGGCAGGCCGGGGTGACACAGGGCACAGAACCATCCTGCCCTGGCTGACCCATGGGCCAAAGTAGAGCATGTTTGCGACAGGCTCTCAGTGCCTTGTCAACACGAGATGGTTTGCTTCCAGGCACCGGTTTGAATCGTAGAATCAGCTAGGTTGGAAAAGACCCTTAAGTGATGAGGATGGGTGGCTGAGTGACGCCAGGGTCTGCCCTGCTCCCCTCGGTTTGCACCAGCCCGTGTTTTGGCATGGATGTAGCTGGTTTGGCAAAGCACCAGCACCAGGGAAACAGGTGCCAAGTTACTGGCTTGGATTGGCCTCCGGCTTCTTTGCCAGCACAGGGCTAAAACCAGCACGAACGCAGCCCCTGCCCAAGACTCAGAGGGGCAAGAGCCGCCAGAGGATAATTCCCCAAATGCATCCCGCAACCCTGCCTTGCCCCTTGGCCTGTGCCCGTGGTGAGTGCCCGTGGCTGTGAAACGGCAGGGAACGGGCTGTTACAGCCCTGCAGTGGCAAAACCTGACCCATCCTAACGCAGGGAGCAGCGCTATCCCCAGCCCCATGGTCTCCGCTCCATTCCTGTGCAGCCCCATCCCCACCTGAGCCCCGCTCCCGGGATGCGCCTGCCTTGGTCACTGAGCCCTCCCTTTTGGGGTGAACGTGACTGTGCCAAGGCCCCCCTGGAGCACCCGCTCTGCCGGCGGGCACCCAGGGGCACCATTGCTGCCTTTGCGCCGCAGGGAGGGGAGCGCAGCCCCCGGGGGCTCGCTGCGGCCCCGCCGTCTGTGTTTTGCTTGGCAGCGACGGAACCCGGGCGCTGCAGGGAAACAAACAGCAGCGAAGCCAAGCGCCCGCAGCTCCCGTGGGGGTGAAACCGTGGGGCAGCGGCAGGGCCGCGGCTCTGGCAATGATTAAACCCGGCCAGCCCAGATTTCCCGGCAAGGCAGCGCTGGGCTGGGACCCGGCGCTTCGTGTTATGCAAATCACCTGGATCCGGCAGCACGAACGTTTCGGGCTGGAATTCCCCTCGGGCCGCCGGATCCTTACGCCGCCCGTGCTATAAAAGAGGAGATGAGGGCAGGGCTTGCCCATCGGCACCAGCCTCCCCCGGCCCATGAGCAGTGCCTAGCGGCCGGGCAGGGCGCGCTCTCCTCCCTCGCTGCTCTCTGGATTAGCTGCTGCTCCCGGGATTGCCGTCGCGGAAGGTACCAAAGCGCTTTCGTCCGGGGCCTGGCGATGTCCCCCAGCCTGGGATGGGGTTTGCTTCCCCTCCTTGCTCATCTTTGCTCTCGCCGGGGGATGCGCTCGGTGTCATCTCAATGCACGCTCGTTGTCCCACCGCGGCTGCCAGCCCTTCTGGGGGGGCCAGCAAGAAGGCAACCTGGAGGGGGGCCCCCCGGCCCCTCGGTTTTGACAAGCAAACAGCAAGATTTGGCTCTTCCAACGAGGGTTTAGGCAGGGGCTCGGTCCCCTTCTGGCTGCAGAGTTACTGGGATGTGCTGCTTGTTGAGGACTGGAGCTGCCGGCACGGGAGTCCCTGCAGGGTGCTGGGCGCTCTCAACGGCTGCGTTCCCCACAGCACCCATCCCCATGGAGGGGCTGAGCAGCACCATTCCCTACGGGAATCTTTACGTTGCCTGCTGCAGGGCTGCTGTGGCCAGGCTGGGACAGGGCCATTCTGCTGCTGCAGTGACCCCATGTCCTGGGTCCCTGCTTTGCTCTGGCTCAGCCTCCCTTGCTCCTGGCCCCGGGGTGGTGGTGACTCAGCCCCTACCCTGGCCACAAGGTGCTGGGCGGGTGCTTCTGCAGAAGTGACCTGAGAGATGACGATGGGTGGAGGGAGGGAGGGAGGGAGAGCCGGGACTCACCCAGCGCCGTCCCTTGGGTCCTGCTGCCTCCCCAGGGCTCACTGTCATCTCTCGGTACAGAGCCTGATGGCAGGATCTTGTGAGCTCAGCAACATCTTGTCCAACTACATCAGCGCCATGTACCAGCCGGATGAGATGCAGCCAACCTTGGACATGCTGGGACACCTTGGGGAGGACAGCACCCTGGGGCTGAGCCTCCCCACCAGCCAGCCCCTGGCACAGGGCGCAGGTAGGACCCGGGAAGTGGTGGTGGTTGCACAGGGGAGCCAGCATGCGAGGCTGCAGTGAGTCTTGGACGAGCATTGGAAGGTCCTTGCAGGTCGTTTCCACCATCCCTCAGTTTCCCCAGGGGTGTGTGGGCTAAAAGGCTGCTGTAGGAGACCCTAGGTGGCATAAGGTGCAGGTGCTTGGAGCACATCGGGTGCATATGGGAGGTGAATGAATCATTGCCCTCATCCCCCAGCACATCCCAGGGAACAGGGTGCCAGGGCTCACCAGGAGATCCATTTGGAAGTACAGCCCTGGTATCAGGGATCCTACTCCTCCAGTGGGACCGTCATGGGCTGGCCCCTGGGATGGCATGGGGAACACTCCAGTTGAGTAGGGTGCATCCCAGCAAGGACCTGATAGGATCAATGGCATCAAAACCAGGGATGGGGGGAGCTGGCTGTTGTCCCGCAACACAAGGACAGGAGCAGGGCACAGCAAGGTAACCCAGGCGCTGAGTGCCTGTTAGTCCCGTAACCCTCCAAGCACAGGGCCTGCGGACCCCGCGTGATCAGCACAGGATTGGACCCGGTGCCCATCTGCAGCCCGTGCTGGGCACACAGCGCTGGCACCTGAGCCCTGCTCTCCATCCTTTGCAGACAAACCGGAGTGGTTCAGTGAGCTCCCGTACTTCTGGACCAAGGTGCAGGTGCTGGAATGGATCAGCTACCACGTGGAGAAGAACAAGTACGATGCCAGCTCCATCGACTTCTCCTGCTGCAACATGGACGGACACGCGCTCTGCCACTGCACCAGGGACCAGATGCGCCTCATCTTCGGGCCCCTGGGGGATGAGCTCTATGACCGCCTGCATGAGATCAGTGAGTGCCCCAACGTCCCCTTCGTACCCAGCCAGAAGCAGGAGGCTGAGACCCCCCCCAACCCCAGCCCTGGACCTTGTCCCCCTTGGGCGCTGCTGCCTTGGGGAGGCTGCTCAGGGGGACGCGGGTGCACAAATGAGAGCCCAGGCAGGGCTGGGCTTAGCTCCCAGTAAGCACCACTCACCCCGTACCCAATGGGCATCGCTAATCCCAGACCCCACCTCTGCAGCCTCCGAGGAGCTGAACTGGATCATTGACTTACTGGAAAAAGAGGATGCGACTTCCAAAGAGCCCTTCCTGGACGGCAGCCACCTGGGTAAGAGAGGGGCCCCCACCAAGCCTTTTCCCCAGGGACCAGGATGCTGGTGCAGGCAGGGCTAAACCCCTTCTCCGCCCCTTCCAGAGCTGGGAAATCCCTGTGCCAAGGACTCCCTGGAGGACATGAAGCCCACAAACCCTTTCCTATGCACAGACTTCACCTGCTTGCCTGATGCCATGTCCCCAGGCAGCTCCGATGTCTCAGGTGAGTTGTGCCCGGTGAAGAGTTCCCTTTGCTTGTGCTGGGCTGGAAGATGAGTGGAGAACTGCCCCTGCCACCAAAGGCAGGCTTGGCTCTTGTACCAGGCTGGCTGCAGGGGCTGGGGAGGGAGAAGCACCTCCAGATGCCATGAGCTGTTGTTCTTTTGCCTGGCAGGACCCGTCATGTCCCACAGCCCCAACTCCCAGGACTCCGGTGGAAGTGACCTTGATCTTGACCCTGCAGAAGCAAAGCTCTTCCCTGATGGTGAGTTATCGAGCTGCAGGGAGGGCTTCTTCCCCCTGGGTACATCCCATCTGCCAGTGGTCGTAGGGACGATGCCTGAAAACCCCTCCTCACACAGGGAAGGGGCTGGCGCTGGTTTTCTGTGCGCCCTGGGTCTGTTTCTCTGCATCAAACACTGGTGGTGCAGGCTCTGGGGCAGAGCTGGGATATCCGGGGCAGCAGGGAGCTGGGGGAAGTGGTGAGTGAAGGCTGCCCCTCTTGATCCTGGGCACTGAAAGCTGTGCTCATGGCTGATCCCAGCTGGCAGTGACACCTGGAATACCGGAGGTGGTCTGGTGAATGGACAGCGTGCAGCCCTAAGCGTGGTGGGATGGGGGTAGAGGGAATGGGGGTACCTTCTCCGGGGGATGGTTTCGTGGGCCTGAACAGGGTGTGCAGCCCCTCATGTCTCCCCTGTGCTTGTGCCCCTGAGGAGGACGTCTCCATGCCCAGCGGACTCTGTGTGAGCTAACGTGTCCCTTTCTCCGTGTGCACAGATGGCTTTGCAGCGAGCAAGAAAGGGGACAGCAAACACGGCAAGAGGAAACGGGGACGGCCCCGAAAGCTCAGCAAGGAGAGCAGGGACTGCCTGGAGAGCAGAAAGAGCAAGCACTGTAGGTGGACCCCCCCCAGTTTGGCTCAGTGATGGAGGGGAGGTGGGAGGAAGAACCATGTCCACTGGCTCTTGGCAGGGGGTTTAAGGAGCAGGATCTCCCCTCCTCTACACCTTGCCTTCCTCTTCCAGCCCCAAGAGGCACCCACCTGTGGGAGTTCATCCGGGACATCCTGATCCACCCGGAGCTGAATGAGGGGCTGATGAAGTGGGAGGACCGGCAGGAGGGCATCTTCAAGTTCCTGCGCTCGGAAGCCGTGGCTCAGCTCTGGGGTCAGAAGAAGAAGAACAGCAGCATGACCTATGAGAAGCTGAGCAGAGCCATGCGGTGAGTGCCTGCCCCTGGCCCCGGGGGAAACCTGGCCTCAGCCTGGACGCCCCCCCCCGGGAGCACATGAGGCTGCATCCAGAGCCCTGATTCCAGCTCCATCTCCCGCAGGTATTACTACAAACGGGAGATCCTGGAGAGGGTGGATGGGCGACGGCTGGTGTACAAGTTTGGGAAGAACTCCAGCGGCTGGAAGGAGGAGGAGGTGCTCAACAGGAGCAAGGAGCTGTAGGAGTCCTGGACGAGCTGTGGGGGCTGAGAAGCCCCAAGGGCCAGCCCCAAGGTGGGCTCCTTGGCAGGAGCCTTTGCCTGCAGCTGTAGCTGGGAGCTGCTGCCCCATGCAGGGGGTGAAACTGTGACCCTTGGTGCGCAGGCTTGTGCCTGCTGGTGACTGTCGGCACTGGGGTGCCCAGCGCTGATGCTCTGGCTGGGGCAGGTTGTTGTAAGCAGTTACATCCCTCGCTGGATTCACGCCTCCGAAACCGGACTCGCAGCGACTTTGGCTGCTCCCAAGCCTGGACAAATGCAAACGGGAGACGTTCAAGAAGCAGCAGGCACCGCAGCGAGACTGCAGCAGCTCTCCTGCTGTCACCCACCTCCTGCCCAGGCAGAGCAGCACCACCTCCCCTGCCATCAGACAGACCTCATCCCATCCCCAGGGCTCTCCCTCATCCCTGCTCGCTCCATGGCGATGGCGCCCACCATCCTGTTCGCTCCATGTGGGATGGGTGAGGCCCCCCTGTGCTGCAGCTTCTCGGTGTGGCACCTGCTGAGAGAAGATGGGAACACTGTGGAGCTTCACCTGGCCCTGGCGTGCCCTCAGGGCAGAGAGGACTTGGGGGACAGGCAGCAGGACCACTCTGCACTTCCATCCCTGCTGCCTGTATCTAGAACCAGGCCTTTTCCCCAAAAAGTAGCTTCTAATTTATGTAAGACAAAAAGAAAAAACCCAAAAAAAAGCACAGAATGAATGTACAGATGTATTTTTTCATGACTAAGATGTCCCCATGGAGAGTGTGCATTGTGCAAGGTGGTGATGCTCAGCTGGACTGAAGTGATGCCGCGGAGGCACAGACGGGCTCTGTGCCGGCTGCAGCAGGGGGATGCCAGCCCAGGCAGGCACTCCGTAGGTGCGTGTGGTTTCCTCCTGTGCACATGGGAAGGTAAAATGAATAAACTGCTCTTTGGTTGGGTTTTTTGTACCTCCCTCTCTGTTTTCTTGGTTTTGTTTTGCTCAAAGACAGGGTGAGGACAGGGCTCCTGTTACCTGGAATGTCCCATTGCATGAGAAGGCTCCTGAAGGGGAGACCTGAGAGCAGCTCCAGTGCCTAAAGGGGCTGCAGGAAAGCTGGAGAGGGGCTTGGGACAAGGGCCTGTAGGGACAGGCCAAGGGGAATGGCTTTAACCTGCCCGAGGGGAGACTGAGATGAGCTCTTAGGCAGAAGCTCTTCCCTGTGAGGGTGCTGAGGCGCTGGCACAGGGTGCCCAGAGAAGCTGTGGCTGCCCCATCCCTGGCAGTGTTCAAGGCCAGGTTGGACACAGGGGCTTGGAGCAAGCTGCTCTATGGAAGGGGTCCCTGCCTGTGACAGGGGTTGGAGCTGGAGGAGCTTTAAGGTCTCTTCAACCCAACCCATTCCATGTTTCTATGATCCTGGTCCCAGGGTCTTCCTCACTGTGAGGTGCTCTCCTTGGCCCTAGGCAGTGAGATTTGGATGCTCTGTCTCAAAGCCATTCAGGGACACCCCAAACCCGCTCCCAAACCTTGGCTTCCCTGAGGGCCCTGCAGACGTTCAGCCCTGGCCATCACCTTTACCACAGGGCTCCTGGGAGGCAGTTTCCCAGTCGCAGGCTGCTGGGAAGCACATTCCTGGCTGGTCTCAGCTCCCTCCATGCCTGGCTCTGGGTCAGGGGCTGCAGGAGAACCTCCAGCCCCTCTCTGCCTGGGGCTCTCCCCTGGGATATGAAGGGCCATCAAGCAGCAGCACAGGCTCTGCACTATGTGCAAACCTTGCTCCTCTTCCAGTCTGCCCATTTGGGAGCCCCTCCTAGGACCTGGGTGCCCCTTAAGGACCACATCTTCAGGAGGGGGCACCTCTATAGCCTGGCAGCGTGGACAACCCGGACACATCACCTGCCCCTTGCTCAATGGCAATGCCAGCTTTCCCCAGGTAGCCCAGCCCACCCCGCAGGGATGCCCCATATGTCTGTGGGGCAGCAAGAAGGGATTCACAGGGCTGGAGGCCAAGCAGGCTCTCGGATATGTTTCTACCATGAGCCTGGCAAGCAGTGGTCCATACATTGGCATGCACTGCCTGCAGTTCATCATGAGCCTTTCTGAGTACTGCTGGGCACCAGAAGTTCTCGTTGCCACCTTAACCTCCTGCTGGTGCACAGGACCCTGCTGAATGTGGGATGCAGGTGAAAGCACAACTCAGCTTCTGTTCACCCTCAAGGGCCCTGGGGCCCCTCCTCTGAGCTTGGAGCTTGACCAGACCTGGGATGCCCATGCAAAAGCACTGTCATGTCCTTCTGAAGGGCTCCAGCCAGTCCCTGGAGTCACTAAGGATGGAGCCAGCCCACCAGTGGCAGGGGTGAGGGGGGGGGTTGGGATGCCTCTAGGCAGGAAAGGTGCATTGCAAAGCCTGGGATGCCTTTTTGGAAGGAGGACGCAGTCACTGCTCCCCAACCGCGCTTCACGGTAGAGGCAAAAATCACTGATCCTGCACTTGCAAGAGTGTGACACGGTGCAAGAGAGAGCAAGGACTCCTCCAAAGCTGGGGCTCTCGTGGCCCGTTTCTGCTGTCTCCTGGGCTGTCCTGGCTGGGACTGCTCCCACTTTGCCTCAGCTTGGCTGGGATGTGGGAGCCAAGCGATGCGCCCAGGGGCTGGGGGACCACGGACCCAGCTGCGAATCCCTGCTTCACTCCAGTGGCCGTGACCCACGGCGCTCTGCTCTGTGCTGGCAGCCCTGGGCTGAAGGACAGCCTGGAGATGCTGCAGTGGCATCAAGGGCACAACCCATCTGCTTTGCCAGGGGCAGGAGGTGCCCATGGACCAGATCCGACCTCTTGTTATGGCCATGCCCATAGGAGATGGGCACAGGCCTTGCGATTCAGCGAGACGTGGGAGAGGGGCTGCAGACGTGGACAACAAAATCATACACAAGACCTCAATCCCTCCCCTCCCAGTGCTCTGGGCTGCTCCCAGATCCGCAGGCTGAGGTGAGGCCATCAGGGCTGCCCTGTGGTGCAAGCAGAGGTCCCGGTCCCTGGGTGTGAAGCAGGAGGCAGCCCATAACCTGGGCTGCAGCCAGCCCGCCGTCACGTTCCTTGCGTAACCTTCCTCAGGGAACAGGTTTTCCTGGCTGGCATCTGCTGGCTCCAGCAAGCGGAGGGTGCTCCGGGCCCATCCCTGACCACAAGGAGCCGGGATGCTCCGGCTGCCCACACAAGCAGTGGGAAGGGGTCGGGATGCTGATGGTGTCCGGGGAAGGGACGCAGTGAGCGGGGCGAGCCCGGCTCCCCCAGGAGCTGCCTCCCGCTGTCCCCCTGCGCGCTGTGCTGTGGGCGAGGTGTTTATTCTCCATCAATAGATAACCCGGCAGGCTGGCAGGGAGAGGGGAGCGCTTTGTCACGCAGCGCGCTGCCCTGCCAAGCGCACCTTGTTTGCTCAAGCGGTCTCCCCTGCTTCCCCCGCTGCGCTCCGTGTTACCTAACCCGCCCGGGACAATGGTTAACCAGCTCCAGCGGCAACGGCGAACGCGGCTGCCTCGCCTGCCCGTGCCCTCGCCCGTCCCCACCGCCGCCGCCGCCCCATGGCAGCGCCAAGAGAGGGGCACGGGGGCTGCGGGGCTTGGGGCAGGAGCAGGGGGTCCGTAGGTGGGGTGCCGGAGGAGGAGGCAGGGGGAGGTGGGCACAGGTTGGGGACCACATCCTGCAGCCTCCCATGGAGTGTGTGTGGGTCTGGGTGGGAGGACTGGAGGAAGGGGAGTAGGGGCAGACCATACACCCCAACACCCCAACGCACACTCGGGGTAACCCCTGTAGTAACCTGCATCCTGTATTAACTGGCACAAAGCACAAAGCCCAGCACACCGGCACAAAGAAAGAAGGGATCTGTTTGGTTTTCCGCTCTCCTTGGAGGTGCCTGGCTTTGATGGAGAACGGAAAATGATGGGAAATGGAGGAAAAAGGGATTGTTTGCCTGCAAACCAACCTCTCCTCACGCACTCAGAGCGGGCTCTGCTGGGAGATCTTTCCAACCACGTGGCCCCAGGTTGAACGTGTTGCTGGCACACAGTTCCCACACAGATATCTTGGTTGCCCTTCAGGTTTGAGCGTTAAAAGAAGGTTTTCTAGCCCCCAGAAATGGGGTGAGGGGGGAGGCTCTGGCTTGGGCCAGCAAGAAGGTGTCCGGTATCCCACATGCCAGACCATGAACTGCCCCTGGGCACAACAGCACGACCTGATTTTCCAGCTCAGCTGGACCATGGCCATGCTTGCAGCGGATCAGGGGAGACAGGAATGCGGTGGGGATAGGGGCAGCCTGTGGGAGGCAGAGACCATCCCCTGGGACCCCCTGCTCTGCTTTCCACTGCCTTTTCTGCGAGCTCCCCTCAGCCCATACTGGCTTCCATCCTTTCTCACCCTCCTGCCCCTGGCTCAGCACCGCTGGGGAGCAGGACTGAACCCCATAGGGGGATTGCCTGGGGATGGGGGGGTCCCAGCTGCTTTCCCATTGCCATGAGCAAGGCAGCTCCCAGCGGCACAAGGATGGAGACTGGGCCCAGCTCCACAGGGAGGGCAAGAGCAGAGCGCCCAGGGCTGACCCAAAAGGAAGGCTGGCTCAAAATACCCCCTTTTTTTTTTGCTTTCCTGAAGGAAAACGTCTTCGGTGGGGCTCTTTCTCCCTGGAAATCAGACCTTGGGACCAAGTTTGCATAGGGAAAGAAAGGTCTGGTCCTCCCGAAAGCACCCAGGGAAAGAAAGCCTTGGAAGCCCATGGGAGGTGTTTATTGCAGTTATGCCAGGAAACCCCATCCCCTCTGGATTTCACCTGGCACCGTCCTTGCCAGTCCCTGAGCACACCCAGGCTTTCTTGTGCCATCCAGGCCAATAGCTCCCAGGTTTCAGGACTGGCCGTACCTGGAGGAGGTGTGCAGGACCCAGCATGGCCGGAACCAGGCTCCCGAGTACCCAAACTGCCACACAGAGGGATGGAGAGCAAAACCGCCCAGGAATTCGGGCTGCCCAACTGGTTTGGGGGCTTTTCTACACAGATTAACAACCAGGTGGCATAAACACACCTGGGGAAGCGTCCTCCTGATGGGGCACCCCATCTGCTCTAGCCCTGGGGAGCTGCCAAGGTTAAGCACTGCAGGAGGGTCTGTGCTCTGGGGACAGGCACCCAGGGAGCTGGGAATGAGGGGAACCTGGGGGACGTCACACGGGAGGGGATCTCTGCAGTGCATGGGGGCAGTGGAGGTGTGGGGCAGGTCCTGGGGGTGATCCCAGGGATGGAACGCGAGGGGCTGCGCTGGGGAGAGGAAGATGCTGCTGGGGACGTGGTGCGAGGGATGGGGTGTTAACACCTGCCCGGCTGGCACCTGAGGTGCGCAAGGGAAGGGCTCAGGTGTGATAGGGAGGGTGAAAGGATCTCCCAGGGGATACGTGGCACGGAGGAGCTTAGGGGCACGGCGCTGCTGGGGGTTGGCAGCAGGGTGCAGCCATGGCAGGCTCAAACCCAGCCCAGTTTCAGGGCTGGGCTGGCGTGACTGGGGCTGGGCACCCCCCCCCCAGGGCTGACAGCAGTTACCTGGGCTCCCCGGCAACGCTTCCCTACCCCTGCTGCCCCAGAGCCCAACAGGGTCCTTGAAGAACTGCCTCCAGCAGTGGGTGCCTGCTGGGGGGGGGGGGGGGGTTCTGGCTCATCCGGATGAGCTGAGGGAGGGA